GGGTTTTGGGGGTTTTGGGGGTTAGGGATTTAGGGGTTTAGGGGTTTAGGGGTTAGGGGTTAGGGGTTTATAGGGGTTTAGGGGTTAGGGTTTTGGGGTTTTGGGTTTAGGGGTTTAGGGGTTTAAGGGTTTTAGGGTTTAGAGCTCGGGGCTCAGGGCAGAGAGGATTGAGAAAGGGATTTTGGTTGAGCTTATGCGTACAGTTACCACTCACTAAACAATTGTACATTTCCTTTTTTGAGGTACCTTGCTTACTAGAAGGAATAGGTTTGGTGGTTGCGCCCCCTTAGAGAGTCTGGGGTGGGAAAGAAAGAAGGAGAGGCCTTCCGCAGACATAGCACGACGCACGGGACAGGAAGGTATCCCCAAATACGGCCACCCACACGCAAACCCAAAACCCTAAACCCGAAACCCTAAACCTTAACCCCAAAGCCCTAAACTTCGAAAGCCTCAGCCCAACAGTCCTACACCCCCAAATGGGGGCTTTAAACCTCCACACCCCTGAACCCCTACGGTTGATTCCGGTTGCATGATGATATAAAGTGGACAAAGAGAACTCTGGCGCGGTGCAGGCGTGGACGCCGCGGCTTTGCTCGAAGATGCCGCTGCACGGCAGAAGGGGCTGCGTGCGGCGGTGCGCGCAGACCAGCTTCGGAAAGCAGGCCGTCGATCCGACAAGCAGTCTTGGCGAGGCGACATGTGCGGTGTGAGGCCAGCCTCGGCGAGACTGCGTTCTCTGGGAAGACGTGCAGGAGGTGCTGGACAGCAACTCGTCAGCATTTGCACGCCAAAGCCGTGGGTAGACGAACAGATGGTGATGAGCGTCTTTTGGAAGACGGGCACGTCCATCAACCTGCAGCACTCAAGCCGTGAAGTTCGCGGTACGAAGCCCTGGCTTGTCTAGACTGCTCGCAGGCGAAGCGAGCCCCGGGAACATTTTCGAGCATACGTAGCAGATGCAGCAACCAGGCTTGACCCCGTGACTTGCTGTAGAGGTTGGTGGACGGCGCAGCTGATGCAGAGCTTCTTTGAAGAGGACTTCATCAGGGGCATCTCCGTGACCAGTGCGCTGAAATTCGTCGTGCGGCGCTTATGGCTTATGGCATATGTGAAGCAGAGCTCGTGAGAACCCCTGTCCATACAGGCCGAGCACTTGTACTGCAGCCGTGAAGCATTGCTGCGGCACCTTCTGGCCGTACGCGGTTTCGTGTATCAACACTACTCGCAGCACTCGAACCAGCAAGCGGAGGCTCGTCTTCTGTCGCCCCTGTGCCGGAACGCAGCAATATGCCACAGTCGCGCAAGGCTGCAGCTGCGGAGGCATTCGGCAAAAAAGGAGAGGGCCGGGCGGCACAAACGGCGAAAGCCCAGGCTCGTGCTGCAAAGGCACAAGCCAAGGCCCGTCTCCAGCGCTTGAAAGAGCTGGAAAGAAAAGCGGCAAAGCAAGCCCAGGCCTGTTGCAGTGCTGCTTTGCGCGGCGTGGCAGCAAATGTTTGTCCGGTCGGAGATTGAGGACCTGAAGCGTTGGCGAGAAAACGCCACAGAGAACAGAATCAAGAAGCGCGCCGACTTGAAGGCTCGTGCGAAGGAAGACGAAGCAGTCCAATCCTGAGCATGCTAAGCCCAGGCTGCATTAGCTGTAAAAAAGGAATATACCATAACTCCCATAGTTTAGGGTCCCTAAGGTACTGCAGGATTTATATCATCAACAGTAAGTAATCCCGAAGCCCCCGAACAGCCCTAAACCCGTAAACAACAAGCCAGTAAACCCTAATGAAACCTCCAAACCCCGAAAAGCCCGAAACCCCGAAACTCCTAAGCCCGTACTAACATCTTAACCCTAAGCCCCGTAAACCCTAAAGCCCTAAACCCTGAAGCCTTAAACCTTAAAACCCTAAACCCCGAATCCATACAGCCTTAAACCCAAAAGCCCTAAACCCTAAACCCAAGAAGCCTTAAGCCCTAGAAAGCTGTTCAGCCTTAAAGGTTTTGGCCCATGGGAGAAGCGGCTGCTATGAGGCGCCTCGAGGCCATCCACGCAGTTTTGGGGTTTAGGGTTTCGGGGTTTAGGGTTCAGGGGTTCAGGGGTTTAGGGTTTCGGGATTTAGGAGTTTTAGGGGTTTAGGGGTTTAGGGGCTTAGGGGTTCAAGGGTTCCGGGGTTTAGGGGTTTAGGGTTTCGGGGTTTTGGGGGTTTAGGGGTTCAGGGTTCGGGGTTTAAGGGTTTAGGAGTTTTAGGGGTTTAGGGGTTTAGGGGTTTAGGGTTTCGGGGTTTAGCGGCTTTAGGGGTTTAGGGGCTTAGGGCTTATAGGGGTTTAGGGGTTTAGGGGTTCAGGGTTCGGGGTATAAGGGTTTAGGGGTTTAGGGGTTTAGGGGTTCAGGGGTTTAGGGGTTTCTGGTTTCGGGGTTTAGGGCTTTAAGGGTTTAGGGTTTCGGGGTTTAGGGGTTTAAGGGTTTAGGGTTTCGGGGTTTAGGGGGTGTAGGGGTTTAGGGGTTCAGGGGTTTAGGGGTTCAGGGTACAGGGCTTCAGGGGTTTAGGGTTTAGGGTTTTCGGGGTTTAAAGGGTTTAGGGTCTGGGGTTTGGGGTTCAGGCTTCCTTGAAGGGTTCTACCAGGGTTCTTTCAAGGGCCACGTCAGGGCTCTTGAGAGAGTTCTGTCAGGCTTCTTGGAGGGAGTTTGGGTACGTGGAGGGTCGTGGGATTTACGAATTAGGAAGTTTTTTGGTCGAATGGAAAAGGCCTAGGTACTTACGAGGGTCATGGGACTCGGTTTCCTCAATAGAATTAAAAGCACCCTGAATGAGGTTATCTTGCTTGTAGCGCTACTGTTAATTTACGCCTAAACTCCTAAACCCTAAAAGCGGGACCAAACCCTTGCTGTCAGGCAGAGGTGAATTGACGGTTCAGGGTTGAGGAGATGCAGATGGACGGAAAAAGCTTTGGAATCTCGAGTGTTAGAGTTCTAGTCTTGCTTTCCACTTTCTAAGAGTCGATAGTGAAAACCAATTCCAAGGAGCCTCGTAAGCAGTATGTTCTATCCTAAGCCTTCGCCAAAGGAAAGCAGGACATGATAGCATTACTTCGTTTTCTGCGAGTAGTAATTAGTATCTGATTAGTATTTGCAACTTGGATCCGACAATCACAAAATAGGATATGAAACGAAGGCCCACAGATTCTCGGCCAGCCACCCTGAGCGCTCAACCATCATAACTCTCACCGCAACCCCCTCTAAAAACGCAGTGCGACAGCCGCTGCTGGTTGACAGGCTGCAAGCGTCTGAAACCTTACGCCTGTAATGAACCCCTAAACCCTTAAACCCTAAACCCAAAACCCTAGACCACCCTGTATCTGAAACCTTGAGCATGTGAGCCCTTGATGCCGGAAGCCTCAACCCAAGGGTCTTAGGGTAAGCATTCCTTCTAAGACCCAGGAGCCCGATAGTTAAGAGCTAAGCTAGCATCCGCATGTTGGCTGTATAGGGGTCGGAATAGATAGTAATGGTCAATGGTATTTCCTTCAAACCCTGGAGGCAAATCTACGCCAAACTATTTCGAAGCACTGTTGTAATTTGTGCGACCCCTCAGAAGGGACCCGGGGTTCGAAGAAAACGGAGTAGCTCGGCCCACGCAGGTGAGACACCTGTGTCAGCCTCTCGAGTTAGGTCTTGGGGTGCTGGTACGACTAGTCGTATGATAGGGATGTAGAGCTACCGGGTTGTTTGTGGTCACTACTTGTGTGTGGGCAACCCTAAGCCCTAAACCCTAAAGCCTACCCCAGGAAATGCATCTGTCGCAGGAGTGGTTGAAGGATGCTGCCTGGGGCTGCTACTTCCCACCAGGTCAGGTGGGTGGTCTCACCCTAAACCCTAAACCCCCAAACCGTAGACCCTCAACTGTAAGCCTCGGGGCGAGAGTGTAGGTTTCAAGGTTTGGGGGTATGTAAGTAACAGCTTGCATGGCTAACTTTGAACAGTCGGTGGTCGGCTTTGTTCTGGTTGAGGCTATGAGTAGTAGGAGTAGTAGTGGTAGCAGCAGAGATTGTCGTCGTCGTCGTCGTACTCACTCTTAAACCCATCATATATCTACACCCCTAAGCTCAGGAAATCCTAGCAGACCCGATGCCATCCAGGACTTCACCCACGTGATGAGGCCGGTGGCCGCTTCCGGGCAGACAAGGCGTGAAAGGGCTTGGAATCAAACGAGCTCGACGTTCGATGGGGGCTGTTTAGGTTTAGGGGTTTAGATTTCAATCAACACGAACTTGTCTCAGCATTAACTGTTTTACATTGACTGGGGCTTGGCTGTAGAATTCGAGTTATAGTGATGGGTAAACAGCTTAGTGCTTTCATCCCTGTAAGCCTATTGGCTGAGGGTTGGTTTCAGAATTTAAGTCGTCATGATGGGTAAGCAGCTTGGTGCCTATCATCCCCGCAAGCCTATTGAGCTTGACGTTCCAGGCGGTTCATATATGGGTTCTGCAGAACCGTGCAACGTTTTGGAATTGAGGCTTCCAAACACTTCATCAGGGTTTGGAGAGGCTTTCGCATGCAGTGGGTAGGTATTGCTTGTGAGAATGGACAAAAGCTTTGGGCCGGCCACGTTTTGGGGGACCTCCCCCCCAAAATAGGGGTATGCATTAAACAGCAGACCCTTGGGGACTCTAGGAATGTTAGCATATCGTACCCAGAGAACCCAATACCCCTGAATTGAGGAATATACATTAAATCATAAGAGATCCAGGCCCCTATAATTTAAGGAATTTCAGGTATATTTCTTAATTGAGGTGTATTGGGGTCTCGGGGTAGGGTTTTAGGGTTTGGGGGCTCGAGGACTTTGCAAGTCGCTCCGAGAGCTCGATGCCTCTTACATCCGAAACATCCCTTACCCCTCGGGTCCATGTGCCCGTATGTTATACCCTAGACTCTAGGCTTAGGGTTTAGGGTTTAGGGTATACACTTTGGCCTGACTCACAGAAGTTCTTTTGTGTAGGTACTTTAGGTTCCAGTTCAAGTCATCACTTAAAACCCAACCTAAACCCCTAAACCCAAAACCGCTATACCGCTATAAATGCCTAAACCGTGCGGAGGCTTGGACGGCGATGCTGAGTCCTTACATCCGCTTCGGGGACCTTTCTGCCAGATATGTGGAGTGGCGCACATGCCAGGTGCCACTTCTTTTGAGTCCTTCGGGTGTAACGACGGTTTACGGTTTGGCGTAAAGGGTCCTAGGGTTTAGGGTTTGGGGTCCTTTTGTTAAAGGCTTCTGGAGTTTGAGCCTCCGTTTTATGCAACGCTTCTGGGTTTAGTGCATACCTTGGCTTGCATCTACCCCTAAGGGTCCATGTACCCTAGTAGTATATACTTTGGCCCCAAAGTACCTATCTAGGGACTACTTTAAGGCCAAAGTATATACTATTTGGGTACATGGACCCTTGGGGTACATACAGCTTTGTAGATGACAGGGCTGGCCATGGTAGGCGGATCCAGATGGCGTTTGAGGCAAGCCCTACAGTAGAAGCCAGAAAGGTGGAACATCATTATCCTCATGCCCTAAAGGTAGAGTAGAGTGAATCCCAGCTACAATCATCCTAAACCCTTGTTCCAACTTTCTGGGGTTCGCTATAGCTGGAAAGCCAAGTTGCCCATAAATA